TTTGGCATTTGCTTGATTTGGCCTCTTTATTTATTCATCCATCCTGTCCAAACTGTCTGAGCGAGGGCTCGGCAACGGATAGGGGGGTAGCTACTTCTTCTTCTTCTTCTTCTTTAGCAACTGCTTCTGCTTCTTCTTCTTCTTCAATTGTATCAGTCCGCATTGCACGCTTACCAAATCAATTCGCATCAAAATCGAACCGAAACCCATCAAAATTGAGGCGCAGTCATCTATGATGCTATCTAGAGTCCACACCCAGAATCCCCTAACCCCCCTCCCTCTCACTGTGTGTGTGTGTGTGTGTGTGTGTGAGCTTGTGCATTTTAACGGTATATTCTGCGTAGGAAGTACGCTGGGCTGCACATTGCTAATATCCTGCGACGCCGCCAATCCTAGGCCGCCGCAACACACCAGCCTCCATCCCACTCTCCCCGACTCTTAACTGAAATACATTTCATTAAGATGCCCCCACAGACCAAGGAGAAACGCATAGACTTCTTTAAATTAAGTATAGCGTATTTTAGAAGTTCGCTTCTTGCGGCTGGACCAGAATGGACATTAGGCGTCCGTTTCGAAGGCGGCGCAGGAAGCGATAAAGATACGAGTACACTAAAAAAAAAAAAGGAAAAGGCTAGCACGAATATAGCCAAAATAAGTATAAATATATGAAAGAAATTCGTTTGTTATCTTTGTGCCATTAACCAAAATTTGACAATAATAATAATTCATATTAACTTGAAGAATATATCGAAATACAAATAAGTTAAATAGCGTGAATTTCAGTTGCAACTAGCCTTTTCTCTAAGTGTACGGCAGCGTAGCAATAAAACTGTTTATTTGGCATTGGCAGCGAGGCGTGGCAAGGGGCCATCTACACACACACACACACACACACACACACACTCGAAACACAAACACAAACACAAGCACAGGCGCATTGTGGGATGTGTTGAAAACTCATAAATCTGAACACAGATGACAAACTGAGGAAGGGATCAAAACCAGGGGCTGGGGCAGGGACAACACCAGTCCAGGTAGCCTCTATCTGCGGCGCAGAGCAATTACCACATGCTACGATTGACAAACGCTGCAGGAGTTCAACTTGCCTGTGCGGGAGCTGTGCGGCAAGTGGAAATCCGAGAACTGGAGAACTGGAGAATCGGACAAGCTGGAGAGAGACGGCGACTTCAAGTGCGCAGCGCTCTTTTATATCTCCTCTCGTCTCGACTTATTTCTGTTTGTTTTTTTTTTTTCATTTTTTTGAATAGTTATTGCCACATGCTGCAAGTGCAACCGATTTATTTATACACACACAGACACACGCACACACACACTCACACACATTTATTTATATGCATTGTGCTGCTGCCGTTTGCTCACAAATTGGATTTGCTTGTTTGCTGTTGTTGTTGTTGTTGTTGCTGTTGCTGTTGCACTGTTGACATCCCAGCAATTACAGCGGCATTCTGAAGAGCTTGCCCCGCCCCTGCAGCTGTAGGCGTGGCAGCACGAAAGAGCGTGTGGCCAATGTAGTTTATAGTTTTAAATAGCCCGGCGCTATTTCGGTGCTGGCCACTCCGCAGGCGGCAAATGAACACACACACACACACACACACACACACACACGCATAGACAGCCTGCCACAGTGTGTGGCAAGTGCAACTCATAAGCGCGACAGCTTTTGGCCTGAGCATTACGTAAACACAAAGACACCAACGCACACCAAAAGCTGGGCCCGAGCTGAGCTCAGCTTTTGTGTCTGTCAGCTGCGTGGGCAAAAGCCACCGCGCAGACGGGCTGCCAAACTGGTTGCTCGGCTCAAGGTGTTGCGGCAGCCAAGTAGTCAAGTACCGATATATACCAAGTATATATATATATATATATATACCGATATATACATATGCATGCAGTATACACATCCGACTGCCCACACGGGTCGAGCGGGCGCAATCTTTCAAACTCGGCTGGCAATTGACAGCTGGAGAGCAGCGCAATTAACTCTGCAGCGAGAACAAACAGAGTCAAACGCAGACCACGAAGCCAAGTGCCCAATGGCTTCTGAGATGCTTGCTGCAGATATACTACTGTACAGTGAAATCTATCCCAAGTGAACAAAGCTACGCCTTAAAGAGTTGTCGAAGACATGGGCAAAAACAAAAATGTTCGCATAAATTTGTAGACAATTTTGTACTAGCAAAATTGATCCCATCTAATTAAAATGGCTTATCCGGAGTTGTTCGCCGTTAGCAGATTTTTTTTTACTGTATTTGGCCGATTATCCGCTTAAGGTATGCGCGTTGCAAGGACTCTTCGTCCTGTCTTCCGTTTCACTCCATCTCCAACCCAGTTTTTCTGTGTGTGCTTAGCACTTGCCCTTTGAGCTCTAGAATGAATAGAAAACGCAGACTTGTTTCCTGCATGCATCTCTCTCGCTCCCTCTCTCTCTCGCTCTCTCCCTCTCCGTCTCGTTGGTCAAGCGGTGGCTCCTATTGTCAATGCACTTCAGTACATTTACCAGCTGTCAGAGACAAACGCAGCTGAGAAACCTTTTGGCGCTTTCTTTGCTGCTCCACCTGCTGCCCCACTTGCCCCACCTCTGTCCATTCTCTTGCTTATCTCTCGCGCTTTCGCACTATCTATTACGACATGTTTGCCCTACACTTTCGCCGAGACTCTTCTGTGGCACACATTTCAGCGTTTTAGCCACAAAAAAAGAATCGCACTCTTCTTCTGTATACGTGTCCTTGTGCTTGTTTATGTGGCCCTCGAAAGTCCGTCCGTCCTTCCGTCCGTCCGTCCACCCGCCCGCATGTCCGGCTGTCTTTTCTGCCTGTTTGTTGACATATTATGATCCTTGATTATTTTGTGCTGACAAATAAATGCTTTTATTTTGCTTTTCTATGCTTTGACTTCGCATTCAACTTCATCTACATCTTCTTGTGCTTCTACCTTTTGCTACCAATTTCCTTGCCCGCGTGTGGCATTCAGCTTCAGCCTGTGGCCGCCGTTGCCAAGGTGCGCAGGCTTTCATTTCTTTTACTTTTTTTTTTTTGTATTTTGGCTAATTGGACTGAAGCAAAGCTCGGGAATTAGTTGTCCGCTTAGCTCTTCATATGTTTCATCGACACATCTTTTATATTTGTGGGCGTTGCCCTGTTACGCAGCTGCTGTCCCTCGCAATAGAGAATTGTGTGTGATAGGAGAGTGGGGAAATGGGTGGAGGAGGCACTGATTCCAACAGTCCAACATATGGGAATAGCAAGATTGCACTAGGGGAAAAGTTCACACTTTTTGTGCTATAAATTAACATTTTTTAAAAAAATATGTTCAATATATGTGTTAAAAGACTTGATATTTCTCAAGTTTCAGCAAATAAAAACTGCCACCAAAGTTTATTCTAGTAAGTTTAAGTTTTTTCAATAGCAAAAGTTCGACTAATGCGAGAACAGCTCAGATTTTCATCTGTTAACTTAACAGATGCTTGAGCTATGTTAACTTTTCTGCCTAATAACATTACAGTTTGATGTATTTGTAATGTATTTTGAGCACAAAATTATGAAAATTCGGCTAATGCGAGAACAGCTCAGATTAACATCTGTTAACTTAACAGACGCTTGAGCTATGTTAACTTTTCTGCCTAATAACATTACAGTTTGATGTATTTGTAATGTATTTTGAGCACAAAACGCTCAAAATTAGCCACAGTGCATTGTTGGCGACCTGCCGCTGGCGCTCTTGATTGCCTATGTGATTTCGTCAACGAAATCAACAAACCAACAACAACAACAGCAACAACAACCACAAAGAGCAGCCCATCACAAAGGCAAACGCCCACCAAAAAGCTACCAAATCTAAAAACGGTGGGCGTTTAAACATATTTTGTGAATTATATTTGATTGTTATTGTTTTGGGGGCCATCGAAAATGGAGACGGCCAAGTTCCGTAAAAAGCCTCAGCCGCACAATGAGTTGCTGAATTTCAATGGCCTGGGCAGCTGGTCTTAGGCTTGGGCTTGGGATTGAAGGGCGGAAGTGCGATAAGCGCCTGACGAAGTGCATGTGCTAGCCACTAGACCACGCCCCTTTGCCCATTGATTCGATTGCAGGCACAGCATAAAAGACGGATGTGGAGCGCAGTAGACGTGCGTCTTCCGGCTCGCACATTAATTATTAATTAGCTCCAGCGCTTTGGCTGGGCTTCTTTTCTTTTAGTTTCTGTTTGTAAACAAATTACAGAGTGCCACAAGAAAGAGTTGCGGAGAGCTGGATGCGGTTAAAGGACACACTGTTGCTGATGCTGACTCGCCGAATCTCCTCCTCTTCAGTTTCCCATCGGCCGAGCATGAACGACATGTGAAGACACCTTCAGACTCATCAGAGCTTTGCTCTGACCGCAACGGTTATTAAAAGGAAGTTTGGCTTACCACAAGTCCAACACGCACACACAGACAATGTGACACATGCACTCCCTTAACAGTTCCTACACTTTGAGAAAAACTCAAGAAACTTGTGCTCAAGTACCTATTTGTTCAACTTGGTTAACATTTGGTTGAAGCGAATAGTCCATATAAGAAAAAATTGCCTTAAAATTTTTTCTTAAAAATTGCAATGCTTATTTTAAGCTTGCAAATTCTTAAAATATGTATTTCGTATATTTTTTTTTATTCAAACCTATTTTTCTCATGTTTCACAGTCTATTTTAAAATATTTCAGCAGCAAACAGTTTTAAGAAATAGACTGAATGATATGTTAATTGTTTTGAGAGTACGCACAACACTTTTCTCTCAGTGCACAACCGATTCTTCTGCTGCGTCTGGCTTGGCAGCCGCAAAAGTCAAACGAAATGACTTGTGCTTTTGGCCTAATGAGCTCGGTTTGGGGGCTAGGCCAGGTTATTAAATAGTGCAGCAGCAACAGCTGCTGGAGGTGGGCGCCACGCCACGCCTACCCTTCAGTTAACGCCCCCCTTTTGTCTGTGATATGCCAAAATGTAAAACTTACCAATGCATAGCAGTCGAAGCTGTTTAATCCAATGCGAATGCTGCTGCTGCAGTTGTTGCTGTTGTTGTTGTTGTTGTTGTTGTTGTTGCTGCTGCTGCTTCCGTTGCTGCAGTTGCCGGCAACTGCAATTGTTGCTGCTGGCGCTGCTGCTGTGATTGTGGTTGTTGTTGCTTTGTTTGCGTTGTCTTGCATTTTGCTGTTGCTGTTGTTGTTGTTGCTGTTCCTGTTTCTGCTGTTCTTCTTCTTCTTCTTCTGGCTGAGCTTTTGCTTGTGATTTCAATGCCATTTTGCTCATAGCCTTAACAGTTGTTGTTGCTGTTGTTGTTCCTGTTGTTGTTGCTGCTGTTGTTGTTGTTGCTGCTGCAGTTGCACTGGCAATTGCTGCTGCTTTGTCCGAAACGCGTCAAAGCTGAGTGCTATAACAAGCAGCAGTTGCTGTAGCCGCTGCTGCAGCGCCGCATTTGTTGCAGGTGAAGTTGCAGTTGCAGGTGTATTTATTGTTGGTTCAAGCAACTTTGTGACGCCACGCAACACACAATTTTGCCCGGCTTAAATACCCTATGAACAAACTAGTTTCAGGCTGAGCCTCGACCGAGCGGGGCCATGTTAACGGCGGCTTACGGGTTACGGGTTACGGGTTAACTGAGGCGGCGACAGGACATGTGACGAGCCGTGACGTGCCGGAACGGAAGGAGCCCCGCGCGACGCAACTAACGAAGCCGCGCGACAAAATACAAGAAACAACGAAAATGTTGACGAGCAATCGACAAAGGATGCGTAGAGGAGGAGGCGAGAGGGACGTTGCCTTGAATTTTTTGGCCACTTGCACTTGATGTGTGGGGTACATTCGCTGGGATATTAAGTATATTCCCGCACAGCTTTAAGATTAACAATTGGCATCACTTTTGGCGCAGACTCGATAATTTGCCGCTTGTACCGCGGCGGCTGCCGAATGGACCAGCACGTGTGTGTGTGTGTGTGTGTGTGTGCGTGCGTGTTGCCAGTGTGTGTAGCTGCCCGACTGCGTCAGAGTGTGCGTGTGTGCGACGCACTTGATACGGCGCCCGTTTGCTTTATCGAGGCGTCCACACTGAATGAGAGCTAAAACCGAACTAAAACTTCTTCTAACTGACGAAGCCATCTGCAAGCAGCCAGCAGCCAGCGAAGGCAAAACTCACGAGCACGCCTTCGCGAGCACGCCTTCGTCTCGTGCAGCGCGACACAGAGCAAGAGAGAGAGAGAGAGGGAGAGAGAGAGAGCGCGTGCTGTGATAACACAGACAATTGGACTCATTGTGTTTGTTTGGCTCTGGCTGGCTGGCATTGCAGGTGAGTCGCTTTGTTCGCCGCAAGCAGAGCCGGTTTTACACTCTCTCATTGTAATACTTGTACAAAGACACTCTCTGCACTTATACAAAACGAGAGAGAGGCAGACATGTGCGTGCTACGAGTCGCATACAATAGTAGCAGCCAGTCGGGCTTCATTGTTTCCGGCATTTATGCGCTACAGGACTTATATGTTACTTATATGCGAATAAGTGGTGTTTTTGGATTTTGGTTTACTTATACACGCAATATAAGTGGTGGTTTATGTATGCGATAAAGCGCGCATCTTAATTTATACTGATTATGCTGCCGTGTGCCTGAAAGTATACACCACGCTTAAATGTGTTGCTGGTTTAGGTATGCGACTAGAAGGCTTATACACTCTACGCTGCCGTACGTGCTGTAAATTGTATACTATGCAATCGTTCAATTTATACAATAGTGCATCTACTAACATCTTATAATATAAGTGACGGCTGCTACACTTATACTATATACTTATACAGTACATTTCAATGCTGTTCGATTTTACCTTATAAATTCTATGTTTTGGTTTGCCTTACCCAAACTGTTATACACCGTATAAGCAAGGTATAAGACTAACCTTTCGTAGAAGTTGCGACCAGTTCGATGCGCTGTGCTCATGCAAGAACTTCAAAAACAACAACAAAGAAATTACAAGTTACAAGGTAATGCCAAGTTTAATAATTGCATAAAATGCAGAAACTCTTTGACAACACATAATTTAGATGTCTTTTATCAACATATAATTTTCACAGTTATATACATATATATTTTAGCTCTGACATAAGTTGAAGCAATAAAAAAATAAACATAATAGGTTATTAAAGTACATAAATATGATAAATATTCTTAGGCAACTGTACTATATCAAAAGGACTTTAAAAAATTCGATGAAAGGGTATTTAGTCTTCGGCTTGTCGCAGATAATTGCTCTTTCTTGTTTATGTGCATTTCTTTGTCCCATACTCTGCGCACCCCTTCTTATACTCGAAATACTCATGAAATTCCCTTGCCAAGTGTAAGTAATTTTCATTTCATTTGCAAGAGAATTACTTCACATGCACGCACATACGCTCGCACACACACACGCACACACACACGCACAGACATTGTGTGAGAGACAACAACAAACACTTGTTACTCTCCGCTCGCCACACGCGACAAGTCCCGCGGGAAAGCTTCGCGTGCAATTTGCCTGAAATAGACGTGAATTTGGATGTGAAATGGCAGCAAACTGTTGCTGCTCGTGCAGTGGCAGAGGGGGAAGCGTGACGTGAAGAGCCGACAAGGAGGCACTGCTAGCAAATTTAGCAGTAGGCGTGCCAGACGAAAAGGGCAGCCAAAGGCACAATAAAAGCCAGATTAAATCCTTAGAAACGTTGAATTTAGGCCAAGTGCGCAATTCAATCAACAGCTCTGGCCAGAGGGGCCGAGAGGCAGTGGGGCCGAGGGGCAGTGGGCGTGTCGCCTAATAAGCCTCAATTTAAAATTGAGTGCTAATCTTTTTATGCGAAAATATAGCGAAGCGAAAATAACAACAAGCGAAACAAAAATAGAAAGCAGAAGAAGAAATAACAAACTGACAGAGTTGTCCTTGAGCCAGGCGCAGAGCAGATGTCCTGGCAGATAGAAACGCAACAAGACAAAAAAAAAAAAAAAGACTCGAATTCATTTTCAAATGTATTTTGCACATCATTTTCCAGCTCTATCTGTCTCTCTCTCTCTCTCGCCCAACCCCCTCCCTCGCTCGCTCCAAATCAGTTTCCGCTTGGCTCCTTTCTACAGCGTTGCCAGCTGCAGCAAAGTTATTTCTGATTCCCAAACCGGAAGTGACAGGAAATGCAGTGTCTGTTGCTCAAAAAGGATTCAGCTGTTTTTTAAACCGCCGAATTGTGGTTGAAATGAACAAATAGCTGCTGCGACTCGTGAGAGTGAGAGCAGGCTAAGGCTAGACGAGCGCCTCAAATTAGCTACAATAATACCCTGTAACTTTGCTAACGAGAGAGATGTGCTTAGAAACGCTGTCGAAAATGGATACCTATCGATAGCTATAATGGCAGAGTATACAAATTGATTATGCCCAACTGCTGTATACCCTTGCAATTAGTACAGGGTATATTAGTACAGGGTGGAACATTCTGGTCTGGTTTAACGCTAAGCTTCTAAGAGTATACAAATTTATTGACGCTTCTGTTACATAAGCATGCACAACTGCTGTATACCCTCATTTGCAATGCATTTAATTAGTACAGGGTATACCACACTGCCAATGCTGCCAATATCTATTGTGCCAAGCATTCGGGTCTGGTTTAAGGCTAAGCCAACAGATTTGATCCATTCCCGGCCCGCTTTTAGACAAGCATTTACACTGTCAGAACTCGGCACATCAATCGCCCATCTAAAGCCCCCTTTTTTTTGTGCAGTGCAACTTGGCAGAGTATCGTAATCTTCAGCGTACACCTCCAGCCCTGCCGCCTGCCCCTCCCTTTCCCTGCTATGCTGTTGTTTGCGATTGAGTCGAGCGTTTTTTTTCTTGCAACTTTTCGGGGGTTGCTGTCTTATTTGTTGTTGTTGCTGTTGTTGTTGTTGTTGTTGTTGGTGTTACTTAGTAGGCCGCCATTGTAGTCTTTATTTGTTTATTGTTGTTGATTCAGCCCATTCACCATTTCGCATCACCCCCCGCCCCGTCGCGCTCTTTGCCATGTGTTTTGCTTCAGCTATTTGTCTTTGTACATTACCAGCTCAGCGACAACTTATCCAGCCCCGCCCGGCGAGCAGCCCGCCCTAATCCCGTCAAGATTTGAGTACAAATTTTCATATGCGATTTGCAATTTATGGCTAAGTGATGCTTTGTAAATTCATATCGCAACAATTTTCCGGGCACTTGCAGTGTCCAAGAGCCGTCGATACTTTTATAAAATTAAATGCAAATATTTTCACAGACGCGCAACAACAAATATTTGTGTGGCAAAGCGAGCCAACAGGCTGGCCCACTCACACACACACACACACTCACACACACACACACACACACATGCGAGAGACTCTTGAGAAAAGTTTAGATTCATTTGCAAACAATACACGCACAACTTGGACTCTAATGCCGGGTCCGAGTTCAAGTCCGAGTCTGAGACGCGTTCCAGACGAAGGCGTCTGCCAAGTTATGCGACTTCTCGTTCCAGCACGCACGCAGTTTTTAATTATGTTTTATAATTTACTCGCACTTTATACAATACACAATTGCTCAGTGTTTTCTTTTCATTTTTCTATACCCTGTAGCTAATCGAAATGGGCACAGCATATCCGTATCAGGTCAAGTTGATTATATATTATTGATAACCCTCTTCGTATAAGCTGTACAAAATCTTAGTCCTGATAAAAATCAAAGATCTGACAAAGGAAAAGCAAATTATTTGTAGAGGGTAACTCCTATTCGAGCACTCTTCACTTGCGTCTGGCTGCCTACTTTTTGTCACTTTGTTTTTATTGTTTTTTTGGTAAATTGGCAAACGAAATGAACTCATTTCTTTCGATTCGCATTTGATGGCATCGTCCAAACTCGTAGTCTGCCGTGGCCTATTTTAAAGGTGCCCCATTTTTGGGTTTGCTACAGTCACACACACACACACACACACACACACACACGCACGCGTGCATACACAAACAATTGAAAGTTATTTGTGAAAATTTTATTGTAATTACAAAAGTTTTGCCGTGTTGTTTTCTCGCATTGATCCCCCCTCGCCATGCCGCAACCTTTTTTGAGGGCTTCTTCGATTGCCTGATACCTTGAATTTTACTCAAAATTCCTGCCCGCCCCTTCAGCCACTTTTTATTTGGCGCTATTTCTATTCCTAGTCCTGTTACTGTTGCTCTTGCTGGTGTTGATTCAGTTTGCCTTGCCACGTTTCGGTTGCGTCTCCGTCTCCGACTCCTACTCCGGCTGCGACTGCGTCTTGCCGGAAAACTTTATCCACTTCATTATTTGCTCGTTTTCATTGCTTTGTTTCGTTGTTTGTTCATTTGTTTGTTTGTTTGTTGGTTCGTTTCGATTTTAATTGTACCCCCACCATCTGCCAAACGGCAACCATTTAATGGCAAAGAGGTGCAAGCATATTAAAATAAAGCCCAACTCGACTCCGTGCTAAGCCAAACGAGCCCGGTAAACGCGAGCGCCAGTAACTTTGTTGCTCTGCCAAAAGTTAACTAAAATAAATAAATAAATTATTTTCATTCACAATTCAAACTTCGATTTGTGCAGCTGGATAGTAACTAAAAACCCGAATCGAGCAAAGGTGTATAGGGAATAGAAACTCGAATTAATTATCGAAAACAGGATAAGTTATAATTTCGGAACAAGCCATAAAGTACATGAAAGGGTTGCCGATGTTCGGATCACATCAACAATTGCAACGTAGATACATCAAGTTATTTATAGTAAAAGTTTCCACAATATCTTGTGCCCTTCTTTAGATTATTGTACATAGGCTCAATGGGCACGGCATATTTGGGGCTCAGCACATACTGCTCCTGGGCCAGACGGGTCAGATGCTGCAGGGGCTCGGAGATGCGCCGCCTTCCATACTGCTGTGGATTCTGGTGCTGTGACCCATGATGCTCCTGCTCCTGCTGCTGCTGATGATGATGATCTGTAGATGGCCGAGATCCCAAGATTCTGGTCGGACGTTGGCATAACGGCACGGCGGCATATGGGTTTTTGATTTTCAGAATTGTCCTTTTGGGCTGCCTATTTTTGTCATTGTTGTCAGACTTTTCGTTCTTCTCGTGGCTCTTGTCGCCAATATCGGCATCGCCTTGCCTTTGGTTCCAGTAGGCACGCAGCATTGTCGCATCCACAACCACGATCTTGGGCATCTCGTTTGAGCATCTTGCTTGTTGCGGATTCGTTCGTACACTGCGTTGTCTTCGCTTCTTTCTCTTCATGCCCTCGCCACAATTCAGAGATATCATGTCCGCTTGTCTGCAACCCTTACAGTGCAGAAAGCCGGCCCCCTGCTGCCTTTGTGCACTGTATACCTGCCGTTGATCAGCGTCTACAGGATTGCAGGCCAGCTGCCAGGATAAGCTCAGATTGGGGCTGGCCGGCATTGCCGCTGTCAGCGCCGGAGACAGAGACGGAGGCGGAGAGGGAGACGTTGTCCTTGTGAGGGACATGCAAGGCGTCGACTGGCAGCGTTTCACCGTGATGCTGCTGAAATACCTGCTGAGCTCCACATAGTCGGACCATCTCTTTTCAGTTTGCCCCTCGGGCAAGCGATCGGGTGTTCCTTTATCCATTTATATTTTGACCCAGTTAATTACTTGTTTGAGCTACTTGTAACGGCTAATTTAAAAACTGTGCGAAAGTTAACCAAACAACATTTTATAGATAAATTAAAAAAAAAAAATTTTATCAAAAATTTTTATTTTCTATTTTTGTAGCTGTTTAAAGTGTATTACTCAGTATCTGGTTTTAGAATGACGAAAATTTACAAACATTTCCAAAGCAAACAAAGTTTTCTCTTCGACTGTGTTTTTTTTGTCATTTTGAAAGTGTGACTTGTTTTCAAAGAAAATTAAGCAAAGATTCAATATCATATAAAAATAATCACAGATCGCAATGGAATATAGCCCAAGCATAGATAGCTGAAATCTGAAATCCTAGCTGTATTTTTTTTGTATGTGACGAGATTCACGCTTGGCAAATTTCACCCGCAAGTGTGGAAAATTGGCGGAAAACGATTGTAACGCATTTACAAAGAAAATATGTGAAGGTACGTATTATTTTGAGACGTGGTTCTTTACAAACTTTTTTACCAAAGTACGAAATACAATCCTGGATGAAGAGCAAAACACTTTTCACAAGAATTTACATGCTTGAAATAAGCTCAAAATGTTCTCAACTGAACAATAACTTTTCTTTGATTCATATTCTTTATTTGGATCTTGAAATTCCGTTTTAAATAAAAGTTCTTAAAGCAGGAATTTCATCAGAAACTTAAACATTTCTAGATTTTGTATTCCAGATTGAATCAAGTTGTGATTTAAAACGGATAAAATATTTGCAATACTAAGTTGTAATACCTGAATGTAATCTTTGCTTATGATTATGTTTGGCATTTGTTGGGTTTTGTTTATGGCCTATATGGGTCGCAGGTTGCTGCCTTGTCCGCACCGCCACCCCCTCCACACACACACACAAACTTTCAGATCGGCTGGGGCATTAATGCAAATAAGTGGAAACACAAATATTTTCAACGTTTTGTGGTCAGGGCAAACCTTTCGCTCTTTTCCTTTTTTTTTCTTTCTGTGTTCTGTTGGCTCAAACATGGCCCATGCCCAAATAAATCGCTAGAGAGGCGTCCTTCGTCGTCAGACCTCCGTCCTCCTCGGCAACGGCAGCAACAAGGTCGATGGATCATTTCCGCTGTCATGGCGCTTCCTGAATCCCTTTGCCCAAGCGTCCGTTTGGGCAACCGTTTCCTGTCGGCGACGTAGTTAAATATTGAAATTTATATTTAAAATATTTCAAAAAATACAGTTAAATGTGCTCTTTCCCTTTCCCTTTTCCCGTTAGCCGTCATTTTTCACTTTAGTTTATGTGCCGCATGTTTAATTTATGAGTTCGACCTGCCCCCAAATGCTTTTGCTCAAAGCCTGCCTTCCACATTAGGCCAATGAATATGAAAATCAATTTGGCTGGCCAGCAGGCGTCACACACACACCACAACACACACACACACACACACCCATTAGTGTACAACCTTCCCGCTGAAGGTCAAACCCGTGTTCTGCTCTTTAAACAATCGCAGCTCGTGCTGGACTGGCCGTTCCTCCAGCTCTGACCGAGTCCAATTTAATAGCTCATTCTACATTAATTTCTCAAATTGAGAATCATTTTGACGCTGACTTAACCATTGACTATTGTTGTCTTTCCTTTTTTTTTCTAAACAGAATAAAGTACGCGCTTCTTAGACTTCCGGTTCGTTGCCGAGGGTTCGGGTGAGTTTTTTGTTTTTTTTTTTTATGATATTCCCCCCGACCCTCGATTTCCAATTAGCAACAGGAATCACCTTTTTGTTTTGGGCTTTTCCTTTTACGTTGCTTTCGACTTCTTTACGTGTCTTTGTGTTAATTGAAGATTTGTACTTGCTACGATTTTATGAGCAAGGGATAACTCGGGCAGCTGCCGGCCATTGGGGGTTGTGTTTTTCCAACTTTCCTGCGAAAGATGCTACAAGGATGCCCCGGTTCAGGGTGTCGGTGAAAGAGTGGGGGGCTTCTCACTGTAAGCAACTGAAACTTGTTCGATAAATGGCGTAATAAATGGAGCTCGTGCTGTCGGGCCCCGAGTAGTCGAACAGGATCCTCGGCACGCGCAGGTTAATTGCATTTCGCACTCATTTATTTGACGATTTCGCTTGGGTCGGATGTAGTGTGGCGTCTGGGCGCCTGGCCAGGACATGATGCTGAATCTATACAGGCGATGCTTTAACTTGTATTTGTATTTAATTAGGCATGTCGTTTTTATACTCTTAGATTTATTTGGACAGCTCTGGTTTGGGAATGTGTGCATTGCATTTCCTCTGTGCGCAGTGCTCGACTTTGGCAGGCACAAATGGAAGCTGAAACAGGATGTGGCACTGCCAGAGAACGATGCGAACGCAAAAATCCACGAATCCACTTAGCGGCGCATAAATTTTGCTGCGAACATAAAGTACAAGTGTACAAACAAAGGACTTTTGGCGACGACGACGACGACGACGACGACGACGCCGAGGATGAGGATGTGGATGTGGATGAGGATGAGGACGAGCGGCATTAAAAACATAAAGAAACCGCATTCAAGTCCAAAGTCGGACAAAGTGCAGCTGAGCGGCCTGGGCAAACATAAACTGGGCGAGTGAATAAAATCGTTGCCAGAGCAGATGAAAAATGAAGGAGTGCTAGGCTGAAATCCTCTGCAAAGCGGAGCCCAGCCGGGCCGGGCCCCAGACCTTTGCCTATTTACAAATGTCCTCGCCAGCCAAGCGGACCAAAGGAGCACCGAATCATAAAGAGACCGGCCTCCGGCCCCGCCTCCCTTCTAGAAGATGGCGAGTGAAATGCACGTAAAATAATAAACAAGGCTTTGCAAACAATAAATGTTGCTCCTGCTCCTGCTCCTGCTCCGGCTGCTACTTCTACTGCGACTGCTGCTCAGTTCCTCAGCTCCCGCCCGCTACGAGCTGTTGGCGACGGCGACGGCGACGAGATTTCTGGGCAACCATTGTCGAGTCTTGTTGCAGCACGGAGTGCTCCCGACGTTGCACTCGCTCTTATTGTTATTGTTGTTGTTGCATTAAATGCGAAATGCTTGTAACGGCAATGCAAATGTAATGGGCAAAGGACATTTCACGCTGCCGTGCAGCCAGCCTCCGTATGCTGCAGCCAGCTTTTGGGCTGCAGCTGCAGTAAATATTCGCCGGGGTCAGCCGCTAGTTATGCAGCCAAGTGGCAAGGCAGCAAGGCGGCACGGCAGACAGCCGCCGGAGATGGCGACGTCGACATTGCCACGTCCTTATTAATTGCAACAATAACTGTGCCGTGTTGTTGCCACGTCGTGGCAATGGGTGTAGGTGAACCGGCCTGCCTCGCAAGGCTACTTCTTTATGGTCTGCTCTGACTGCGAATTTATGGCATGGCGAGCACAGGAAGCGGCACTTAGCTTCTGGCACTTAGCCCTCCACTTAGCACACTGTCCTGGTCCAGTTCATCAGAAGACGAGGCGACAACCGTGAAGGCAGCCCGTCAGACCAGACATATATGCATGTATATGATCCACCAAATGCATATCAATCGCCAGGCACAGCCACTTCTTTAGTGTCTGTCGATAAGTAATTACTCGAGCTTTAACTGGGCCTCAGGCGTCTCTTTGCCAGCGCTGTAAAAGCCATTCCTGTTGGCCTAGGTTTTTATGAGCCAAGACTTTTTGGGGCTCTAAAAACATTTAAAGGCAATAAAGAACGGCGGGCGTTATCAAGAGGCTCTCAAACTCAGAACGGTCCGATTTTCAGCCAGGTATTCAAATTAGAGGGCGATAGCTACCCCCCTCACTCCAAAAGGAAATGAGCCAGTGGCGGTGCCGTAAAATCCCCGGCGACCATAAAAACCACTGTGACGCTGACGTGGGAAAATCGGAAGGGGGGGCAAGTGAAAAAGGTGGTAAAGGTGAAAAAGGGGCAGCAAAAAAAGGGCAAAAAGTGCTTGGCAGTGATTTTTTTTGCTTCGTAGCTTGGCAAATAAAACGAAAATGAACTCGAAATGTCGTAGAAAAAGTTTATTTTAATGAAATTCGCGTCGACATTTAACGTCAACGGGCAGCAGGTGAGAGCGGTGCGGCAAGAAGCTCTCAAAGGTGGAACAGCCAAAACCAATGGCAATGTGATTCACGTGACGTTCAAAATCCGCGCACAGGCTGAACCTCTTCCTAAAAAAAAACCGATTGGCCGCATGAATTTAATTCGACTTCCTTTCCAAATATCGAAGTTTAGCTTAAACACAGCCAACACAATCGACTATAAATTTAAACAACCACACAACACTAGACTAGGACCCACCTGAGTGCCAAAATTGAAAGTGATTGTCTGTAAGCTGCTTTATTTGAGTATGTTATCATTTAAGCAGCACAACAAAATAACAAAACCAATCTGCAAAGCTTATTTACATTTTTGAGAATCGCATAGAGAGGTTATATTTAGCTGAGCGAAAAGGAGAAAACAGGGCAGAGCGGGAGTGTAAGGGCGAGCCAAGTGTATCCCTTTAACACTTTAGAAATGTTCAACTAAAGGTCGTAGCGGGAGCCTGTCAGAATCTCTCCCAGGCGTATTGAACTTTCTCTCAGAAGTTTCGGTTTCAGTTAAACATTTTTAAAAGCCATAAATTTGGTTATACTTGTTCGTTTATTATAGCTTTTGTTGCTGTGCAGTCAAGTGAAAAGACGCACAAGTAGGTCGCATTGTTCCACAGGGGTTGGAGGCAGAACAACTGTTATAAGTTGTGCACTTGTCTTTTAAACAGGATTTGCTAGCTAATTTCCTATACGAAATCTGCATAATGAAGCACATAGAAGCCACTTGACATTCATTTGTATGCAGCAGTTGGAGAAGTGCTTGGAAAATGACAACTCCGACTGGTTAGTTGTCCTTATTGCCTGGATGCGGAATAAGCCTGCTTCAGCCAGCGCCAGAGGCCGCTCGCTTAAAGCCTTTGATGCGATTGACGCTTCTACAAGTGGTTTAAAGCCCTCCATTGGCAAC